TATATACACCTATATATACCTACATATCTTTAAAAATATAGATAAAATATGCAAGGTATATTCACAGTATACAGAATATTGTAATTGTGGTATAACGTACTATACTACACTATAAACCATTATAATATACTCATAATTAATTATATATTAATTATATAATGATACTCTATTTGGTACGATATATTATATATAACGTCTCCCGAAATTCATGCAAGATTTGAATTTCGCGCCATTCGTGCGATAAAGTGTTGCCAACGAATACAAAAGACAGCGTGACAGCTAGCAGTTCGGGATTATCAAAGATGGAGTGCTATATGATAGAACAACGCGTCTTCATTGTCGATTTGCAATATTTACAATTTTTAATCAAAAACCTGTGTTTTCTATTAAAATTTAATTCATTAATTCATTAATTCATATAATTGAAAATTTTTCTATTAAAATTACTCCTTGCCTGAATTTTGGGACACCCAATATAAGCAGATATCACAGATTGATAGTTCTGGCATTAGGAAAGTATCTCAATTATAACGAGAAAACTCGCAACGGATATTCAAGCAGAGCTATTAAACGGTTTATATTCCATTGTCGAGAAAAATATCGTAAATAAAGGCGTATTTTGCAGGAGCCCGGGAGCAAGTCGTATGCGATCCAGTTTTGGATACTTACCTGGATAGCCGCCCCTGTTCCGCACCGTTGACAATACCTGAAGCCGAGTCGTTATCTCGATAACGGTTTAAATTCACGAGAATAGTCTTATCTTCTTACAACGTGCATTTCTTCACGCTGATAGTATATCGTCTTATCTCGCGAATACACTTGATTTAATTATTCGATACAGCACGCGTTATCCTGAATTGCATTCATCCCTGTACGCGATATCGTGAAAATTGATAGCGGTAGCTCGTGATAATCGTGTCGTAAAATTTTCTTCTCGCATCCTTCGAGTTTTGCTTAATTTCCGCTTGCTGTATCGCCTCTGCAACGATACAGCACATTCAAGTGAAAGTAATCGTCTAAATTTAACAACTGCAAATTTAAATGTAATTTAATTGGTCAGATACGTATAATTTCAACACAGTTCTTGCAGAAATGTTGTATTTAAAAATCACAAGTATATGCGTTTGCTTGAAAAATATTTGATAATTATTAATAAATTGTAGGATTAGTTTTCACGTGTATTACAATTTTTATGTCGACTAAATTGCTTAGTTGAAAATTATTAAATCATAATTTTAACACAAATACCTATAAAATTTATCTTCAGAGTTTCAATCGCTATTTTCTTCTTAATTTCTGTCATAAATTATACAACATATTTGAAATTGTTTCGATACTGTTATAAGAACACGTATCGTGTATTTTAGTTCTAAATATTAAAATTCGTGTTTATATTGACTAGATTGTTCAGGTGAAATGTATTAAATTTCCTAAAATTTTCTCACAAGTGATTACAAAGCAAGTAATTTAGTTAGAATTAATTAAAACCTTTCACAATTTTACTACAAATGTTCCATAACCTCAAATTTTCAATCACCAATTTCGCTACTATTTCTAACATAAATTATAAAACAAATTCGAAATTATATCAATAAAATCAGAAGAATGAGACACTTATAAAAATACCAGTTTTACGAATTTCAAAATTCGTTTCTACACTTACTATACCATTCACGATTAATTAAAATTGATCAACTCTCCCCAAATTTTTCCACAAAAGGTCATACATCAGATAACTTAGTCAAAAATTATTAGATTTAAGTTTTATTGCAAATATAATAAAACTCACAAAACTTATCAAACGTTACATAACCTCAAATTTCCAATCACTAATGTCGCTGCAACTTCTGACATAAACTATAGAGTAAATTTGAAATTACCTCAATACAATTGCAAGAACCAAACACTTTATGCTGTTCACTTACAAAAATACCTGCTTTAACGAAAATTCATTCAGAATTAATTTT